CATCCCTTTCCATCAAAGTGACTGTACAGTAGCCTTTAGAAGTTTGCAGATTTCTGCAGTTTTTGATCCATCTTTTGACGGCTTGTGAGAAATGAGCAGTTACTTCATGCATATTTAGTGATAAATGTAATGAAATTGCACTGCGTTGAGTTAGGTATGCATATCTAAATGAGCATTGTTGCGCCTTTCACATGACATTTGGTATTTTTTCCTTAATACAGACATGCTTAACCCTTCATTAGGATCCTGTAAATCAAGTGTTTGAAGGTTGAAACTGTGGCAGCGTGGCTGTAAGCTCACACACACAGACACACAAGTAAACTTGTGTCTCTGCAGCGATGTAGACACCAGAGCACGAGCGACGTCAGTGATGACGCCTCTTGGTTCGAAGCACGAGGCTGTCTCCTCATCAAGTGATCGCCGCATGCATAATGAATCCTCCACAACCGCACACTGCTTTCTTTCTACTTGTTTCTCTTTGTTACCTTAAATTAGACTCCTTATTAGGCACATTGAATCTCCTCAGTTCATCCTGACCATCTTCTCCTAATGATTGCTCTTTGTTCGAATGAAAAAAACAATCTTTTGCATCTGCTGTGATTAGAGCCCTGATAACTCCTATAAGGATGTATGCAGAGCTGTCGATGTTTTTAACACACAGTCACTAAAGGCATCTTTATGTTTAAAAGGTTACATTTGCATGAGATGGGGCAAGGTGAACAGATGACTGAACACACAGAACTCTTGATCATTGTACAATCACAGAGCTGGAAGTGGGATGCAAAAACAGAAAAAGGCCTTGGGACTGAAACGCTGATGAAATATTAACTCACAAGATATTTAAAGCCTCTGTCATTCTTTTAGTGGTTGGCAAGTTAAAAATGGTCTCCCTGTAAAGCGGATGCAGCCAAAGCATAAAAGCAGCGTGAATTAGGGATGGATGAACTAGTCGACTTCACTGCTCTGTGACTTTTTATGCCTGTCATCGACTAGTCTCTGTCACGTGATAATGAGCGACAAGATGCAGTCCTCGGAAAAGACAGCAGGTGACGAGTCACTGCGCATCGGGAGGCAACGCGATGTGCCAGAGCATCGGTACTGATGCCCGCTGTAAAACAGACATTTAACCAAATTGTGACGTTTACCCTTTTGCAATTTAACCTTCCGCTCACCCCCATCCTAATCTTAACCAGCGTGCACATGCAAAGCTCTGATCGTTGACGCGCTCCAGACATCTGCGTCCTGAGCACGGCCACAGTAACATCAAATTAGTTGTCGCCACCTCAAAAACAAATTTAACATGCGATCGTTCATGTCAGCTCATTTCCTTTTATGTTTTCTGTCTTTTATTTGTGCCTGATGCGTTTCGCTGCTGTGGAGCGGGTCGCATCACCTGTTTTGTCCTCCAATAACTTCACCTCACTGATGCGGTTGGCGAGCGGCGCGCACTCCGCTGTTTTTGCGGTCGGTAGATCTTTTAGAACTGCAGTTCAAAGGTAACTCATGAGGTGAATATATATGAACCCAGGTAGCAGTTTCTCTTTAGGACTGAGAGGAGATGCAGGAAGATAATAAACAGAGACAGGACAGAAAAATAGTCAAATAAAAACAAGTTAGTTTTTGTACCTGCTGGTTGCAACAAACAGACACCATTGAAGGTAATCAGAAGTGAGGAACAGAAAATGAAATAATTATTTTAATGTTTAGAGCAGCAGGAACTCTGACAGGCTGCAGGCGCACTGCGCATGGGGGGGAGAGCTGAAGTGAACAGTATATATATGCAGAAACTACCGCTGTTAAAAGAGATGTGTTTAACTTTGAAAATGTGGGCGCAATTTTAACTGTCAAAAACTCCAGCGAACACCCCGTCCCCCCCCACCCCCACCCCCCCCACACCGCTTCAGGTGTATGACGTCATCAACGACTAGTCAAAATCGACTCGATTTTCATTACTCGAAAGTCGACTTTAAAAAAAAAATTAAGTCGTGCAGCCCCTAGCGTGAATGATGAGATTTTTGATAATGAGGTAAAATAATTGATATTTTCACCAATCCAAAAACACACTAAATGGTCAATTGCACTTATTTCCATTCTATGACTGGAAATAAAAAAGGAGAGTTTCCACATAGTATTCAGAGCAAGAGTAATTTTATACTGCAGAACTAGACAAATAGATCATCACTAAATTCTAACCACACGCCTCCCTAACGCGGTCCAGTGAAGCCCATGTTTTTTTTTTTTTTTTTCTTTTTTGAGGAGTGGGCACCGCCTCAACCCTGCCACATGGAGCCCAGGGGTTAAGCCAGTAACCCTGCTCAACCATCCCCAAATGTGGAGGATTCACCAGAAAGGACAGCAGGAGGCTTATGTGGGCGAAAAAGTAAGCTAATTTTCTTATTTTGCTGAAAGATGACAAAACATTTAGCTTTTAATTTGACTTTAAGCTGTTTAATGTTCTAAATAATTAATATGAGACAAAAGACACACTACACAGTGGCGTGCCCAGGCCTTTGAAAATGGGGTGGCCCAGATGGGGCACATTTATGCATGGGTGACATCTATACTTAAGCTTTTATGTTCAAAAGAGGTGGTGTCACTCCTCACAAAATAATTCAATTAATTTCTTCTTCTCATTTCTTTCCTTTTTTTTCTTTTTTTCTTTTTCTTTTTCTTCTTTTTCCTTCTTCACTTCAATACGTTTCTGTCCAGGGGTATGAGAGTGGTAGGTGGCCATGCCTCTTTTGTCCACATGATTTGCACAAGTCCACATTAATGTGGACTTGCAAGGGTATTACACACAATCCTTTGCAGCGTGGGAATTTTGAGAGGAAATCGGAGCAATGATTCAAGTGTCTTTTTTGAAAATATTTATTTTAAAATGAAAGAAATAAATTATAAAAATTCATTTTGAGATGATTAATGATCACATCATCAATCACAACACATGCCGGGATGCTGGTTGCTGTGATACTTTTTTCAAAAACTTTTATTAACTACTTTCAAACAAACAACCAAAGTCCGCATCGATGCAGACTTGGGTGAAGTGAGGATCAAGGGTGCAAAAAGGCTGTGATCAACTTCTGCACTTGAGAATTGGGACACCCTACGTACTCGCAACTCTGGTCAGGATTGTGCAATTGAAGGGTGCAAGGGTGGAAGTGCGAGTATTGTGATTATTGACATAAATATACTGGACATCTCCTTTCCATAGGCTCCAATATCATGTTTTTGAAGCCAAATGGGAGGTGGCCACCACCGCCATTTTGACCGTGTCACAGGTTCCGTCAAGCCCAGACATTTCCACAAAAGGGAAGAGAGGTGGAACTGAGGGTGGGGCTGCAAGGCTGGGATCAACTGACGACACCCGTTCGAACTAGCTACAAGCTAACCTGAAGCTAACCCTGGCTAACCCAAAGCTAACGCGGAAGTGGGAGCTAAGCTAACAGAGGTAGCAACCTAGCTACAACCGGAGTTAACTGTGCACAACACCAGAGCTTCTGAGTCAGAGATACACCGGGCTGACCGCTGGGTAAAACCGGGTGGAACACAGAGGTCTCCGAGACCTCAACAAGCCGGCAGCCGCACAGCAGACAAGCGCCGCTGCGATCTGAGATGCGCAGAGCTGCCGCTGGGGAGAACTGGGTGGAAAGGTTTCCATCCCAGAGCTCCACAAGCCGGCAGCCCGCGCAGCAGACAGAAGCCGCGATCAGACAGAGATGCGCCGAGCTGCAGGGAGAAACAGCCGGCATTCCGCGCAGCAAACAGAAGCCGCGAAGCCAGGGGAGAACGGGTGGAAAACAGAGGTCTCCCGAGAGCTCCACAAGCCGATAGTCGGAACCCAGCTCCACCAACATGTTATATTTCAACCCATTTTCTAAAGTGCAGCATTATGTTAAATGCACTGGGTTTTACCCTATTACATTTAAATTTCATGGTTAAACAGTACATGTTAAAATCCAAGCTCAGCTCCGCAGTGACCTAAAATACATAAATATAATTTTACTTACCGAAAAAAATGAAGTGGAGACTCCTTGGACGCTCTATTAGTGCAATTAATGCCACAGCAAGTCATTTTGTCCAACAATTGCACAAAAAATATCCAAAGAAGAATACACAAACACAGGCTCTAGGCCTTTCCACGGAGCTAGCTCTGTGGTCACGTGGGTCTGAGGCGGCAGTCACGTGGGTCTGATGCTCATTAATTTTACAGAATTTTAGACTTTTAATACACTTAAACAGAAGAGTGAGAAAAAAATTCACCCCTCTCAGAGTTGTCATGAGTGTAAACTAGATCATTTAAACCAAAAACATGTTTGGTACCAGGCTGTAAACATGTTTATTTCTGCTGTGAAATTGGTAATTTTAACATGGGAGTCAATGAGGATTTGCTCGCTTCTGACACCAGCCCCCAGCGGATGAGGGTGGAACTGCAATTTATTTCATTTCCGGGTTTGACTCAATTTTAGAGCTGCATTGTCGGGGCTTGATTGGGATTGAGCCTTCTTCTAACTATTTTGTGGTTGGCAAGACACTTCTTGGTGCATTAGCGCCACCAGCTGGAGTGGAGTGTAGACCTGGACTATAAATATTAATAATGTCAATATGAAAAAGTAATAATACACAAAAGTTCTGTAGGCTTGTGGCTAGAAACACCCGTTTTAAGGTTTATGACCATAGACCTTTTATGGGCAATGTAAAGTCAATTTAAATGGAATTCGGTGGTCTGGCCAATAAGATTCCAAGAATCAGAAGGGGGTGGATGGATGGATTGATTGATTGATTTAAAAAAAAAATAGGATTCTGAAATTCTATTTTCTGTGAAGGGGTATGCTTTTAAATGTATGTATTTTTCTGGTGAACAACTTCCAAAATGTCTGAATTGGCAAAGTAGAAAAAAATAGTAGAATTGTGATTGTGATTTTGCAAAAACAAAAATTGTATGCTTTTCCCATATCGCCCACCCCTACTGGCCTTCATATCATATTATGCTAGTCTTGCTGTAGCCTCTCTCTTCGCCCACATCTGATCTTTGTTTTTTTCTGATCTGCTCTCCTGGTTCACTGATCCTGAGCATCTGTTTGTTGTACTTAAATAGGTTTATCATTCTGTTCATGCTTGGCTTACCTTAACGTGGCTCATTTGTCACCCCATAGGGTCAGAGAAAGGGGTGTGTGCTGGTGAATGGGAATGCTAATTATCCATATGGCACTGAGAGGACACTGACGGAAATCCTGGAATAAGAAGTGGCACCAGAGTGAGACCTGGTGTCCGGTGTCAGCTAAAGCTGTAGTTACCCTGATGCTGCCTCTAGAGGGCAGTCATACTCCCCTTTTCTTGTGACTGAACCTTGAGCTAAAATTCTTCCTGAATCACTTGAAATTTTATTCCCACCAAATTAAACCACAACATTAACTTACTGCTCCACCTAACCAAAGATCTGAGTTCAACACTCAGGATTTGTAAAGCTGACCTTCTTTTGATGGCGGGGTGTCAGGGCAGCCCTGTTGGATTATCTCCAAGTCCCACAGCACTCCTTTACTAATTACAAGCTGGTAAGTACAGTGAAAGCCTGTGTGAGCGCTGAGCCATGCTCCCATGGGCATGCGACCATCCCATATAAACACCATAGCCACTCACACCACTTCAGCAATAACAACAACAGTGCTGTGCATACTGTTGGACACCTGCAGCAGCACAGCCTCCTTGGTTGGGCGGCTCGATCCCATCTGTCTCTCCACGTTTGGCCTGGTTTCTGCAGAGAGAGCTGCAGTGCATTGCTAGATCAGAGCCAGACTAATGACTACAGCAGTGCTATGTGGCATCGAGTCCCCGAGTGTTTTCTGCTCACAGTGCATGGATTTGTTAACTACGAGCTGACCAAAGACCAAAGTTTTAGGTGTATGAGGTGAGAAGACTGGGCTAGTGCAATCGACACATCACCAAAAACCCAGGAGTAAAACACAACCTCAATAACAACGATCTTACTTCAAATGTAAAAGTAGGTTTTTTTGCATCAAGTGATCATTTCAAAGACAAACCATTACTTTCCCTCAAAAGGCTATTTATTTTGTGTGATTTCCTATAATAATTGATCACAAATGTTTATAAAAAATGTGTTCATGAATCTGACCAAACAGGCATATTTTTCTCCCTTTTCTTCCCGTCTCCGTCTCTGCTTAGATTCCTCCTCCTCCTCTTCCTTCCACCTCTTTCTCCAATAAAAAAGGCTATTAATAGAACCCCCTGCTCTCTCTCTCTTTTAAACTGCAGAGAGCATATACTGTGCACTTAAAGGGAGGCAGAAGCAGAAGATACCGGGAGGTGTTTGAAAATGTCCTCCACACTGCCTGTGGCTACAAAGACGCTGGCTGTCCTAAGAATAACAACAAACGGGCCTTTGACAGATTTGTGGCATTTATATCAGCACAGATGCTCTTAGGCTAAAATTAGATCCTCATATCTTTTGCAGACCTTGCAAACATTGTGATGTGGAGGAGAAAAAGGTTGGTGAAACATCTGAAAACACACGTTTGCTTGTGTTTAACACACGTTGGAATAAAAAGGAAATAGTGTTTGAGCAAAGAAAGAGCAGACGACACAAAAAACACACAAAACAGCTTTGTTTGAATCATTATTGGCTTCATTATTATCACTTTGTCATGGTTATGATAGTTTGGAAGGATTGTAGATGTTTTTTTATTTTTTGTTCCGCATTGGTTTTCCCGTCTGTAGATTGTCCCTCCTTTCATAAAGTGCAGATAATCCTATTTTTTTAGTCCAAACATCACATACAGCATGGAGTTCATGTTTTGTTTTTTCCATCAGATAATTATGTACATTATTCCGTCACATTTCATTTCACAGAAAGAAAATCCATCATCCACCGCATCAGCATCTTTGTGTATTTTTAGGCCTCTGATGCGGGAGGACGAGGGTGAGGTGAGTGGCTATACATATCGTTTCAGTGGATGCAACACTGTCAGGGTCACAAGAAACACACACACACACACACACACACACACACACACACGTTTGTATCCTGCTTCTCATACGGATGAATTCTAAATAAGGGGCTTGCTGCAAAGCACTGACACAGTCCTTCAAAGGAACCTGAAGCTCAGAGAGCTAACGCTCACCTTCAGCTGACATTATTAGCGCTCAACTTGGAGCAGAAAATCCTTGCTGAGATTCTTTTCAACTGTTCTGCCAGCTCTTTGACACAGCACGAAACAGAAAAAACATGAATAAAAATCTGTTCTTAAACCGTCTATTCCCACAAACACAAACGAACAAACAACCAGCTTATAATCAATCTGCATAGATTTCTCAGTAGAGCCACTGCAGGGAGCTGTTCTCATGGTGAGAAAAGGTCTTCTGCGAGGCCGTGGTGTTCTCTTCTGAAACCATACTACGCCGTCTTTCATCAACCTACAGATGCTTCTACTCCTCGTTGTGCTTCAAGCAGGAACAAAACAAGATGGTGAACTACAATGCTGTGATCCCCAGTTCGTGAGCTGCTACATCGAATTTGGCAGAGGTCTGCTAACACGTTGAACGTGACAGATAAATGTTAAAGGCGGTAACATTTATCGTTGTTTCTCACAGAAAGGGAATGAAGACCGTAAGATGAGGCGCCTTTTGCATGCATAGACAATAATTTTTGGTCAAAATGTGATTTTTTTTTGTTTCCCTCCATCACATTTACATATATGCTAATTGCTGTTGCATTAATGCAGCTGCATGACTGCGTGGCACCGACATTCAGTGGTTGTCCACTTTCTATCACACAACCCACAGCTCCATGTGCACCGTACCACCCAAATCACCACCAGACTGACCAGCTGGGTCGTGGCTGGATTCAAATTCATTTCATTTCATTTACAGATTCCTTCACCAAAAAAGGGTGTATTGCTGAAAAGAGTACTGCATCATATTCTACCTTTATCAGTCATTTAGCATCCCTATTCACCACTTTTCAAATATATTTAAAACATCTCTAAAAACTTACAGATTTGGACAGAGATGACTTCGAAAGCCTCTCGTCAGGCAGTTGGCTGATGCATCCTGAGCATATACTGGCAGCGATGGCATTGGAACATTTTTGCTACTGCAGGTTGAGACTGTAGTGAACCAAACCAAACCCTAACAATGGGACAGTTCTCGCCACACGTCCTCCTGATCCCTCACTTTTAGAATATGTAGAAGATCTGTGAGACGATACGGAAATTCAAGAAACACTGAAAGGAAAATCAGACAATTATTAGGTCAGACAACATCTGCTACAGTGCTGCTAATCATCACTTCCCATATTGATGTTAATGCCTTTGAATGCTACCTTGGCAGTGTTGAGCAAACTGTCGAAAGTCTTAGCTGGACATGATCCTGGAATCAGAACCTAATTCACTTTTGATGCCAACATTTAAAGACACATTGAGCTTCTGGCTTCTAAAGGACATTTGTAATTTGACGGATTCGATGTCGATAAAAAGCTTTTGCATAAAAGATGCAGGTTGGAGATGCTCTAAACAACAATCTGACTTAAGCTGTTTCACTCCGGGCAGTTTTGTGTCGAGTAAAGCAAACTTCTTGGTTTAGACACAGAGCATGTGTCGGTTTTCTAAAAACTCACCATAAAGTAAAACAAATGGCGAGTGAGCGTGTGTCTTTGGTGCTCGGAACGAGCTCTGGAACAGGAGAAACGGTGCTCGGAGCAATTACTGCCACAAAAAAAAAAAAAAAAAGCAGCGCTGAGCTGTGACTTTTTCTTACACACTGATTTTCTAAAGTTTATAAGTTCTCCAAAAAACTATTTATGTGAGCTGTATATGTGTTTTGTCTGTAGAGATATACTGGTTTATGTATAACATATCTATAGCAACATTTATTTCCGTATTCCCGTCTTTTTCTTTGAGCTTAAATACATGCTAGAAGTTTTCTTTTTATGTTCATGCAAGGCTAGCAGAATAGCGTAAACCAAGATGAAAGGCGGGTAAAGGGGAAGCTTTGCATTTTTTCTATACACGACTCCTTAAAAGTTGCTATGTCTATCAAGAGGACGTGAAACCAGTGATAAAAGACACAACTGCGAGGCTGCAAGTCTACATTTGGGTTCAAAGTCGAGCAGAAGACCATGACCCCTTCTTTCCACCCGACGCAAAAGTGGCATTAAAAGAAATAGTATTTCACCCACAAGCTCCTTTCCAACCGCGAGTGAAAGCGTTCCACACAGGTGATCCCGTGAGGTCAAATCACGAGAAAACCTAATATCACGCATGATTTCAGAAGTCCATGCAACAACAACCAAGAAGAAAGACAGCTGTATCCAAAATGGTCTGTGGTTCATTTTCTGGTCTGTTTGCATCGGCTACAGGGTTTCACAATGAACGACGTACTACACGTGACTCTTATTTTGAAAGATTCCAGACGCTTTACACTGATTTTGTGTTTGACTTGTCTGGCCCGATCTAAACTGCAGAGTTCGGCGTGTTTTGGAAGCGTTGTGCGTAATAGACTTGAAACATAATGATGTCATCCAAATCGAAAATAAAAGAAAACCATTCACCGTAGCGTTGTACGTTTTGCGATGCTTTCGCACGTGGTGGAAAGAAAGAAGTCAATATCAAATCACCACGACTTGATACATGTTCAGCGGTAATGACTTCTACATGGAATGTTAATACTGATACAATTATCATGTTAAGAGTAGATGCTGACTTCATAATTAATCCTAAAGACCCCCCCCCCCACCCCAGACTTACAGCTTCAAGGTTTTTGTACCAGCCACCTGCAAGCATCCGTTTATAAGTGTGGATTTGTACACAAGGCAGTGTGCAGACAAATGTACAGTGAAGCGAGTGGCAGTTGAGAAACAGGTGGAACTTCTCACTGAGTCCAAAATGTCATGCAGTCATCTAAGTTTTCTACTTACACCACCTACCTACCTATCAGATAAGTCACAGTTAAGCTACCTGTATATCAGGATATGTGTTCTAGTGGTGAAACAGTGAAATACAAAAAAAAAAAAAAAAAAGAGAGAGAGAAGAAACATTCAAGTTGTCTCAAAGCTCTGCAGCAAGACCAGCTTGGGTGAATGGTGGTGGGAAATCTTGCATTGCAATACATACAGTACATGTAAGACCAAAGCAGTGAAACTTCAAGGCCATTTTCAGTCACTCATCAGATACTGATGTCTACAGGGAGATAAAGGTGTCAAACCATCAGATTAGAGCTGACGGCTGTCATTCATCCTTGTTGTGACTTGGTTTACTAAACCACCAAACTCGTGACAAGTCACCCACGGGCCAAATGAGCACTAGAGTGGGCTTGCTTTATGCTCACGCATCCTTTTATCTTAAAATGGTAAAGCATAAGACAGTTTTGTGTCATTGGCTCCAAGAAGCAGCATATGTAGCGCACGACAGGCTCTTCGGAAAGCACGCACCGGAGCTGTGTGCCTTTGGGAAATGAGGGATGATGGGATCGGTCAGGATCAAGGACTCTAGGCAGTTTTTAAACAGCATCTCCTCCTTTTTTCATCTACATGTTGGCCACAGCTGTGAGAAACATTTATGGACATAGTGTTGTTGTTTTTTTTTATTACCAGTGTGAGATATCTGACAGAGCCAACTCTTTGCAGAAATTTCAAAAATGTTAAATTCCTGTTTTAACAGTTTGGGTTAATGTGTGACGACAGGGTGAGAAAAGGAGGAGGAAAGGTTTCTTTGTTTCTTTTACCATCATCAACATTCTGTTTTCTATTGCCTTGACTTTTCCAGGGCGTACATCTGTCCTGTTTGGTTGCACATTTCCCACTCTGACGGGGAGGAAGGTAGCAGGCTATACATCAGTGAGCATCTTGGTGATGTTTACATAGTTTGTGTTGGCCAGTGTGCAGTTAGCGGTCTTAAGATTCTCCTCCTGAAAGTCCTCGTTGCTGTTGTTTACAGCCTCCTGGATCTCCATGTAGTCCGATTTGCTGATGGTGGAGCCACTCCGGCTCTTCTTTAGCTCCTCCGCTGAATCGGCTTTAGGCACGTTAACCTGCAGATACTGAGCCTGCTCCTCACCCTCGGTCTCACGGTGATAGAAGTAGTTAAAGTTGGACACAATGACAGGCACTGGCAAGGCTATGGTCAGCACACCTGCGATGGCACAAAGGGAGCCAACGATCTTGCCACCAATCGTAGTTGGGACCATATCGCCATAGCCGACTGTAGTCATGGACACCACAGCCCACCAAAATGCATCTGGTATGCTCTCAAACTGCGATTCAGGCTCATCTGCTTCGGCAAAGTACACCGCACTGGAGAAGAGGATGACCCCGATGAAGAGGAAGAAAATGAGAAGGCCGAGCTCTCTCATGCTGGCTTTCAGGGTCTGACCCAAAATCTGAAGCCCCTTGGAGTGACGAGACAGCTTGAAGATTCTGAAGACTCGTACTAACCGAATGACCCTGAGAATGGCTAAAGACATGGCTTGCTGACCCGCCTGACCATCCTCTGCTCTGTCTGCCAGCTCCGTGCCAAGAGTGATGAAGTAAGGGATGATAGCGACAATATCAATAATGTTCATTAAGTTACCAAAAAAACCTGCTTTGCTTGGACAGGCGAAGAAGCGCACTAAAAATTCAAAGGAGAACCATATTATACAAAGAGTCTCCAAAACGAAGAAAGGGTCGGTGAAGTAGGTGGATGTGTAACTGATTATCGTGCTGTTGGTCTCGGGTGAAAATACTTTTGCTTGAGACTTGTGCATTTCGTCCTCGTCATTGCGAAAAATGGGCAGTGTCTCCAAGCAGAAGCTGACAATAGAAATGAGGATGACCATGACGGAGATGATGGCAATAATCCTGGCAGGGCCTGAGCTCTCTGGGTACTCAAACAGAAGCCACACCTGTCTCTGAAACTCGTTGTCGGGCAGAGGCCGCTCCTCCTCCTTGATGAAACCTTCGTCTTCTCTGAAAATCTCAATGGCCTCCTCCCCCAGCTCATAGAAACGAATCTCCTCTGAGAAAATATCAAGGGTGACATTTACCGGCCTTCTCAACCGGCCCCCTGATTGATAATAATACAATATGGCATCAAAGCTGGGTCTGTTCCTGTCGAAAAAGTATTCGTTCCGCAGCGGGTCAAAGTAGCGCATCCTCTTTTTGGGGTCCCCCAGCAGAGTTTCTGGAAACTGGGAGAGGGTTTTGAGTTGTGTCTCAAAGCGCAGCCCTGAGATGTTAATGACCACCCTCTCGCAGCACTCATGGTCGGCCTCTGGGTCGTAGTCCTGCGGGTGCCCCGGGTGTGCAGCCGCCTCGTCGGAGGGGTCGCCTGTGGCGACAGTCATTCTGCAGGGGGAGGAGGCCTGCACTTTTCAGCAAGTCTGTGTCCTGCAGCCTGGAGAACTGCAGGTGAGAGCCAGGAGAGGGAGGGGGCTCGATGCCGTAAGGACCTGACGGCTGCAGGGTGTCACCTAAGATTGGACTGCAGTTAGAAACAAAGACAAGAGATCAAGGTCAGGAAAACCCAATAGGTGGATCACACTTAATGTTTGCTCTGCCTGTTTCACAGACATAGATCCAATTGAGAATAAATGAACACAGAGAAGAAATACATAGAAATAAAGCAATGCTTTGGTAGAAAATATGTTTTCAGTTCAACGAGTCACTGAGAACTTTTCTAATATCTGTCTTGCATGTAAATAAACTCCAGAGCAGGCAAATCAAACATGCAACCCGGGAGCTTGAGCTGCAGCAACGAACAACTGAACTGATCAGGGTTACCTTTTGAAGTAAAGCATGAGCATCACAATGCAGCAGACATCTCGTCCTATCAAGAGCAAATGTGCATCTAAAACTCCAGGAAGTCTTTAAGATCTGAAAACGATCTAAAATAAATAAAAGGAGAATTGCTGGAGCTGCTGATGTAAAACGACTTTTGTTTAGTTTCCACTGAGCGGTTTAGTCTTGAAATGGTGCCTGTTACTGAAATATTCAGAAACACCTATAAATTATTTACCCATAGAAAGAGATTGGCTTCAAGAAGAAAAATATATGTGCATCTGCATCGTCCCCTCTCCTGTTTTACATAAAAATCCTGCAGCTCTGAGATCATCGTGACTTTTCAAATGAAATCTGCAAACAGCAGAGGCAGCAGGAGGATGCTGTGGATGGATTTCATACCTGCAGGTTTCTTTTTCATTTCCAGTGGAGAGGTGATGCTCCCACTCAGGAACCAGCTGAAATAAACAGGTCTTGAATCTTTGGTGGAAAAAATACTTTCCAGTTCAGGACAGCTGATGGTGATTTTCATCTCATGTTATCTGCAGCATCCTTTTGCCGTGTACACCGCGTACAGTCTGTGCGGGTGTGTCCTCCCTGACTCCTCTCCTCCGGGTAGGCTGTCGTGGGATGGCGATCGGCAAAAAAAAAAAAAAAAAAAAGATGGGAGGAGGTGCTGGTGCTCCCCTTCTTAGCCAAAAGGTGCTGGCATCAGCACGACGATCTTCTTCCACCGCTTCCTTCCGCACCGGAATGACGATCCGTCGGCTGCAGACAAAAAGAGTCAAAGAAAAAATGATCATTAATGATAAAAAAAACCTTACGGATTGGGCGTGGGAACGTGATTTTATCATCAAATATGATGCGTTCTGGGGAAAACGTAAACACCTGCAGCCATTTCACGTCTTCATTCCATTTCTTTGCCTCTAAATGAGCATCTCCGTGAGTTTGAGCTGCAGATGTGCGCACAGCCAGAGCGCCTCCTACGAGCCTGCACGGTGGGCAGAGCCGCGTCTGCAGACGCTGACTTGAAACGACATGCATGAAAGTCGTAGTGGGCTTGAAGATTATGCAATTTCGCTCGACCAGAGAGCCCCCCCCCCCCCCCCCCCCCCCCCCACCTGCATACACAAACATGCCTGCGCACACACGAAACAACAGACGCACTCTCTTCATTGTCCATCATCTCAGTGGAAGGTGGGATTTTTATTTTTTTATTAAATGACAGGACCAGGAGGAAGATCCACGGCTGGCCCGCAGGGCTGGTATTGGCTACTGTAGCCTAGCTCAGTCAAACCTGCAGTCAGGCGCTGTTCTGCATACCAAGATGCTGGTGATGGAGCAAGGAAGGAGGGGGGGGGGGGGGGGGGGGGTGGAAGGCGCTTCCCATCCGGACTACTGCAGTGGGGGTGCAGAGCTCCACAGCAGCCCAGCTGTTGGCCACTGCTGCAGTCCTGTAAAAAAGTGGGTAAACATTATTTAATCAGAATCACAACAGCCTCTGCATGCTTTAACAAACCTTGTTTGGGTCTCTCCGGCGTCTTTGCCTCCACAGAAGCAACAACTCTTATTTCTTTAAAAAATAACTTTACTGATTGTTCGCAGCTGTTGTAATATTTCCTGGCAACAAGCTCCATGAATAATAAATGGGAGGGAGGACAAAAATAGAGCAAAAACCTTGCATCAGTGTGCATGGCTCTCTTCTAGAAGAAGAGCAGAATTCTCACATTGATGATTTGAGCTGAGGGTGAAGGTGTCCCGACGTGACCCTGAGAGAGCGCAGAGGTCAGCGGGAATCCCTGAGTCGTGGAGGAGAATGGCTGGGTGACAGCTGGGTGATTTGTGTGAGACAGGTTAGTCTTGGCAGAACTGACCCTCCTGGCTGCCAGCTTCTTCCCACTGTCTCTCTGTCTGTCTGTCTCTCTGTCTGTCTGTCTGTTTGTCTGTCTGTCTGTCTTCCTGCCTCCACACAGAGAGACGCTTTCCTCGGCTACCATCTCTTAAAGCCTTTAGGTTTCTCATGACAGCAAACCCATTATTCATGAGTTGGGGTCGTTACAATGATTCTGAGGCTGAAAAGCTCAGCTAGCTTTATTCTGAAGGTGATTAGTTGTAAATAAACAAGTGTTGTGGACTTTAATCACATGAGGATGTCTGCCTGCGTCAGATAGAATATAAAAAGTGTCAAGAACAGATTTGTTTCCAAGAGGTATTGATTTCAGGACTCACCCCTCATCTCTGTCTGATGTGGTTTGGCACACAGACAGGTAACGGAGAAAATGGAGTTAGGATCGAAGACACTGAAGGATAATTAGCACAGATCCAATAAACTAATGTCTCGCCTTTTTATCACCTGACACTCAAACCTTTAGATAAGACAGTGATTTGTTTATTGGATGTTTTTGTTTCAGCACAGGTTGTTTATCACTTTTGTGGCACAATAATAATTAAAAAACTAATAATAGTGGATCTCTTAACAGTAACTCATTTGTGAGATGCTGTGATGGTGTAATTCTGGTCTTTTGTGGTTAAGAAAGAGCTGAGAAAAAAGGCAAAGTTCTCAGTTTTGCTTCTGCAACCCTCACCTGCGGCCAAAAGGTTTGGATTGTGGCGGGTGTCAGGGCTGATCGCTAGAGGAGCGGCATCGTGCTGCCGGAGCTAGCCACTCCTCCTCACTACAAGGAGTCATCTGAGGTGGTTCATATGCCTCCTGGTCTCTTTCCTCTAGATGGTTGTGTATCCTCACTGGCCCAAGAACGAGTTGGGATCTCCAGGAGGAGGACTATGTCTGGACCTTTCTTGGACCTGTATAGTAGGAATGAATGTGTCGTAAGTCATACTCTGGTGATAAAAAGCTCAGATTCTCCTGTTGAGGATGTAGACGTCAGCTGGAGGAGAACGTGTCAGAACATGGCAGGATCCGGAGTCTTATTTCCTGATATTTGGACATCTCTCTTCTGATTGGCTAACAGAAACTCAACACTGACTTTGTTTGCTCTGCAACGTTGATGTTTCATCTCCACAAATAATACAAACCTGAAGGAGCTTCTGCCATGTGGTGGAGTTGCTAATGCTAACGGTTAGCTTCTACTAGCTAAGGCATTCTCTGCTGTTTCCTGGACGCTAAACAAACAACAGCCTTCCCCGTCGTGAGTCAAGATGGGTGAGTCCATGATTGTTAAGTAACAGTGTGACGTAGATCTGACCGAATTTTCTGAACCGAGTGTTTTTCCGACTATTTTCTAGTAGTGGTCTCTTTTTGACCACTGTGCCTCCGTGCTATGTGGTGCTGCTCTGCAGCGGCTACGGGTTTTTCATGTAAACAGTCCGTAAAAGAAAAAAAGTGGTAAATTAACCTGAAATGTAATACTGTTGTGTTAAAAAAGGGATTTCTGTGTGACAGCATGCCATTTTGCATGTTCTGCCTTTTTCTATTCAATGTTTCTTCTGGGCAGCATTTCTGCAACCTTGCTGCCAAATGCTCCCCCCCAAAGCATCTTCACTGAGAGTCAATGAAAGCATCCCTTTGGGTGATGAGTCATTCCAAAATTGCTGCTCAGGAGACAGAAACTGAAGTGCTCTACAAACGAGGTGAAAAGAAAGCTACTACAGGACCAGAAAAGAGGCCCTGTTAACAACTGGCTAATGGTGCATGGGTTTGAAGCAGCTTATTTAGGCTTCGGCACGCATGGAAACCAACGGCTAACATTTGAGGCAAAGATGATAACTGAGGGCTCAGAGAAGAAAAGGAAAGGGGAGGGGAACGTCATGCTCATCAGGTTGGAGTCCAGCTGGATGAGGGCAAAAGCTGGACCAGAGCCAGATGCTCGGAGAGCCACAAGGACACTGGCCCACTGCTGCGGTAACTTGGATCTTAGTCAGAAACACTCGTGGCTCTGACTCAAGTCTACAAACCTGGAGGATTACAGACCTGTAGATGAACGTTTTGCAGTCTGAATAAATAAACATCTCCTTAGAAAAACACATTCTGTCTCTGCTCAGGTCAGTAAGCCACCCTGATGCTGAAGGGAAGGACTATGAGTCAGTGAGTGAGTCAGTGTCATTGTTGCAAGCATACTCTCATGCTCCATTATATAATGCATCCATAAGAGTGAGGGAAACTCTAGTTAAGGTGAGCGCTGCTTTGGGAATAGGGTGTTAGATTACGCCAAGGTCGTCCCAGAAACGAGATCCCGTCTGTGCAAAAGGAAGAGAGGAAAAATCGAACAGTGTGCCGTTGGCCACTTTTAGAGTTTCACACCCCACCTCGAAAGGGCTCAACACAACCAGGCTCTGCTCTATTTTTGGAGATAAATTGTTGCAAGTATCTTGAAAGTTTTTGGAAAAAATAGAACAGAAATATTCAGGTCCGCTTTAGAGTTTCCGGACAGGCTGCCTGCAGGCTCAAGGCATTTACAGCTAAAGCCACTTTGTCAGTGTGATGATGCAACCCACTGGTTTTTGCAAGTGGCTCAAGGAATCAAAAACATCCTTCATAATAAGATCCTGCTGCTATCATTAGACTCAGCCGTCAGTCTGAATCGTGGGTCACCTGAGGGATGAGCCGGGGGAGGGGCACATTTGCCTCTTAAACACCCATCTGACTAATCTTTGCTGAAGTTTATGTTTTTATCCCAAAGTCGCTGTTTCAACTTAGCATTGTTGCGTTAACGAGCAACTCTTGCCTGGGCCTCATATGGTTGTTATGGAGACATGCCTCAGACAGGTGTGGGAGGGGGCTGTGCAGTGACATCACGCCTCAAGCGTCGCTGCAGCCAGTGAGACGTTTCAGGTGAAGTTACAGCAGTATGACAAAGCACTTTTCATTTCCACGCAGTCAGCGACGTTATTTAAAGATGATTTGTGTTTAGAAAAACAGCGAGGAGCGTGGATTTTAGTCTTCACACCTGGGATGTGCTTTCCTGGCAGCCTGTGGAGGGTGGAGACCTGCTTCCTGTTCGACATACTTTATGTTGTCTTCCAGAAAACCCTCAACAAAGAGTCATGATGCTTTAAAATGAACTTTATGAGCAACTCTTTGAGTGCCATTATATGCTCTGTAAAGAACAGATGGATGAATGGCACCCAGGGAAAGAATGGAAGTCTCATGTTCTATTTTTGGCAGCTCAGAGAAACAGTTTTAGGGCAAATCCTGTACCACTTGAAATATCATCAGAGCCAAAAATGTCCGGTGCTGTAAATGACGGCTGCAGATGCAGCTGCTGCTGGTTTTCCTCTCACTGATTTGTGATCAGCAGACATAAAGTTCAAGGATGACAAGAGGCACCTCTCCTGGCAGACATGCCCCATGCTGCCGCTCCGAGTGTCATCAGAAACTACACGCTGCTGCGAGGCGTGACTCCTCGCATGTGGCGAATGTCAGCATTGTAAGGAGAAGCCTGGGGTCTCTCTCTCTCTCTCTCTCTCTCTCTCTCTCTCTCTCTCTCTCTCTCTCTCTCTCTCTCTCTCTCTCTCTTCTCTCTCACACACACACACACACACACACACACACACACACACACACACACACACACACACACACACACACACACACACACACACACACACACCTACATAGGTCCTAAATCTTTATCTTCACAGCTGCCATCCGCAACGGTTTCAGGAAGAACCAGCTGTCT